TTTTTATTATTTTTAAGATATTGTGCAGATTGGTAAACTGAGTAGTATTTGCTTTCAAAATTCAATTTGTCAAAACAGTCTGTTTCAGTGTCATTATCATTAATATTTTCATTATAAAATTGAATTTTGATTGATTGCTGGTTGTTTGGATGTGAGCGTAAATATTAATTTATCATTAGATATAAAACATTTCTAAGTAATTATCTGTATTGAGAGCATGATTTTTTAGTTTTGACTTTAAAGTTTTATTGTCAGCAAGAGAAATTGAGGTATAATTCGAAATAAATTTATTATATAAATAAGGGTCGCAATAAGAAATAGAAAATTGAGAATTTTTTTGTCTTTTCCGGAGTACAATAAAGTTACCAGTTGCTCTTGTGTTAAATTTGTTGATATTAGATTGAAAAAATTTTTCTGTAAATCGGTTTGGAACTAATCCTATTTTGTATTTTAGCATGAACAATATATATGCATAGATATTAATTTGGTAAATGTTTAGAGCTTTCATTTCTTTTAATAGAGGTTTAGCGTGGGTCAGTTTCTTATGATGTATTATTCTCAAAGTTCTTATGATGTATTATTCTAGAGGCATGTTTTTGTTGTCGATAAAGAGACATTAACTTTGTCTTGTGTGTGCTTCCCTAAGCAATGTTGGCATATGTGAGATAACTATGCATTAAGGAAAAGTAAAGAAGTTTTAGGTTTTTTTGTGATAAAAATGGTCTAGCTTTAAAAAACTAATCAAATGAAAAACATATCAAATGAAAGATCTATAAATAATTTATTTGAGCATGTCAAAATCATTTATAAGCATTTATATTGGTATATTAATTTCCTTATATGAAAATTACCTAATTTGTCAGAATTGGTTAACAGTGAAAAACTCGCAATTTTTTAAAAATTGTAGAAATTTAAACAAGTTTAACCTTCACTTTAAACGAAAAAATATAATAAAAATTGACAGTTTAATTTTTTTTCTAGCTTTTAAACACTCTTTCCTTCATGCATATAGCGTAGTTTGAAAAAACACGGAAATCCAGAAACTTTATAAAAGCGTTTTTTATTAGTTTTTATAAGAAACTAATAAAAAACGGATATATAAATATATATATATATATATATATATATATATATATATATATATATATATATATATATATATATATATATATATATATATATATATATATATATATATATATATATATATATATACATATATATATATTTATATATGTTTGTGTGTCTGTGTGTATATATTGTGTTGAGTTAAACTTGTTGAAAGTACTGTTATTCATCTTTAAATTTGTTTTTGTTTAGCATTACATAACAGTATTGCCCCACTTTTATACAAAAAAAATAATACAAGGCAGTATATAAGTTATACTGATTGCCAGTTTTCAATTTTTATGGTAACAATAAACATTATTAGATGTTCATTGGGTGCAAGTTGCCAATTTGTATAATAAAGTTTAAAAACTTAATCTGAAAACACATAGAAAGTCCATAGTTTTTACAAATATGCAAAAATTAGCAATTATACAACATGTTGTTTAGTGCCTCTGGTCAAATTGTCTCTGGTTATGTTTATAATGCAGACCATTAATGGACAACAAGAGCCGAAAGTGGACTACTTAATGTACGATACAATCAAAGTCAGGATGATTTGATTCTATTCACTTTTTTGATTGGTTTGTTCTTGTTTTTTGTCAAATTGTAGGAAGGTTTTTATAAGTTATAACCGAAGCAATCTTTACAGTGTAATTTTGTAATCTTATTGCAAAGAAAACAGTATCTTGTTCTATAACTGGTAACTCTACCCATTTATTGCAATCTTTTGGTGTTGCATTTCTTATATCTAATGAAAAATATTGGAGGGAAATACTTGATCAATCGAAAGCCTCTAGTTCAAAAAAACACAAACAATTACAAAAAATAAAGCTTTTTTGTTCTTTACTTACTTATAAACATTTTATTTGTCAGATCAAAAAGTAATCAGCAACTTTGTAGCTTAGTGTTTTTGAAATAAATATGATATTTACCCGTTAGATATAAGTATCATCTTCAATCTTTTGCCAGGCGGTAGTTGCAATTTTAGTATGCAGAGCAGTAATTAATGTACTTTAACAATTGTTTAATGTTGATGTCAAGGAAAAAGCAGGCCCAAAGTGAAAAAAAAATTACTATTAATCTTGTTAAAATTATTTCTTTTGAGGATTTTTTGGAAAAATGTGAAGATGTTCCACTTGCATAGTCTGTAAGTGAAACTGATGTAAATTAGGCACGCATTATAAACTCATTGATCAAATGATCAAGATTAAGAGTGTAGGCAATATCGCGATGGAAGTGATCAAGATAGATCAAGAGTGATCGAGAGTGTAGGCAATATTGCGATAAGAGTGATCAAAAAATCAAGATCAAGAGTGTAGGCAATACCGCGATGTCCTGAGACATTGTAGAAAGTAAATAAGTCTTTAGCCTACAAAGACAAGAAAAAGAGCGCTCACACGTACATAAGGTGACAAGCATACATAGTAAAATCTTCACTAGCTTCACAAACTCGGTAATCAGTGGAATGAACTGAGAAAGGACATCATCATGGTCTACAAACTCATTCAAAACTGATTCAAAATCATTTAGTTTAATATTCTTGAATTTTGAATGATCTACAAATATATCGCGATGGAGTTGTAGTCTTCTATAATCTTCAAAGTCATCTTTGTAAATAGCCTCAACAAATCCGACTTCCAAGCACTGACCAATGATAAATTTTTCTACATTTGCTAAATGCTCAGTGGTCTCAGTTGGCTCGAAACGTGTCGCAAATCCCGTTATAACACAATCCAGAGATGCATACAAAAGCTGGCAGTATTGGTTCTCTGGAGTCGTAGCAAAGTATGGAACTCCACTTCCAGTGAATTTTGATGTTATTTTAAGTTTCCGTGGCATCTCTGGTTTGTCAAGTAAATTATATTCTGCCGCTAAAAAGGCTGCATCCCATAACACTTTGAAGTGAGTATCTTTTTTTAACACCTACTTACGCTTTTCTTTCCCCCTTATTAAAGTCTGCAACCCATAGATACTTCAAGACATGTTAGACGATCCGTCAAAAGGCTAAATTGACATTGGCCCCGACAATTTTGAATCAACAGGCTAAATTGACATAAAACCTCAATCAGACAGTTTAACAAAGTTGCGCTCTTTATATTCTCGGTTTAGTAAAATCCCAAAAAAAGCTCCTCAATTTTAAATTTTTCATTAACACGACAAATGCAGATCGATTCTTGTTCTTACGCTGACGTATCCGTTGTTTCATCAGCCATCAAATTATAGAATTGTGATTCCTTTATACTTTCACATAGCTTACGAAGCGTTGCATGAGAAAAGTTTTGTAGGATTTCGTTTTCATTTTCAGGCGAGAGCCAAATTTGCTTTTCAGGACGATTCAACCATTTTTTCAGTTCCAGAGAATTGTCTGCTCGTAGTTTAAGTAGCATACAAAAGTTTGAATTATTTTTAAACCTTTCAACGAATGGCAAGGCCTTGTGTTGCCTATACATTAGGAAGAAACATTTAGTTATCCAGTAAATAAATTTAGCGATTGATAGTTAATCTAAATTTTTCTCAAACAAAATTTAAAAAAAGACAAAAAAAAAGAGGAATTACCAAAAAAAGAAGTAATGTAAATATTTTTGATTAAGCCGTACGATTATCCATCATTTCTTTCTTTTGGTGATGGTTAAGCTGCTGGATAACGGTTGATTCCAGTGTTGCTGAGGCGATTATACTAACGGACGCCCTATAGAGTTCAGACCGCTAGTGAGAACCAAAAATTTGTAACGCGTTCTTCCTATTAGAAAATCCGTTTAAAATAAAAGCTTCGTACGAATCTTTTTCTCTTGAACTACGAAATAAAGGCATTTTTATTTGGGTAGCTTTGATGCAGGTAAAACAAAAAACTTTTTCTTTCTCTCGGTTATGTAAAACCCATTTATATATTTCATTTTGTTTGAATTTTCTTTCCTTTTTTGATGAAAAAGATGACTGTCTTAAACAATAAGGTCCAGGCTCCTCTGTAAAAGATGGAGACTCAACAACAGCGGTTGAATCAGTTGCATCAACTGACTAAACAACTGATAAACTTTCATGAGTATCTTGGAAGTTATTAGCATTTTCATGAGTATTATCTTGGAAGTTATTAGCATTTTTAAATTCAAAAAATGATGCAACTGTTCCAATTTGATTTTCTTTTTTTAAAAAGTATTCACTAATCTTCTTCATTGTACAAGTTTTACAACTTCTTGGTTAAAAGTCAATGTACTGTTGAACAATTAAAAAATTTCTTCAAAAAATTACGTTTTTTAATTCAAATGTTTTTTAATTCCAAATTTATAAATATAAATGTAAAATGTCATGTGGGAAATGTACCGCAAATATTACTTACAAAGTTATAGATTTAAATTGCAATTTGTTAATAAAAATTAAAATTTTTTTAATTAAAAAATAAAATTTGATAACAAAACAATTTAATAATATATATATTATTATAAATATATATCAATAATTTTAATATATAGGTATTTATAATTTTTATATAATATATATATATATATAAATACATATATATATATATATATATATATATATATATATATATATATATATATATATATATATATATATATATATATATATATATATATATATATATATATATATATATATATATATATATATATATATATATATATATATATATATATATATATATATATATATATGTATTTATAATTTTTATATAATAATATAAAAATGATATTGTGAAAACATACGAAAACTTTAAAACTTTTGAAAGGTTGCGAAAAGCCGGATTTCAGACAGATATAACACAGTTGAGTTAACATGTTCACAAAGTGCAAAACTATATGACAAGTATATCTATATTCAGAAAACTAAAAGATTGTATAAAATGCTTTGTTAAAGATATATATATATATATATTATTCTAAAAAGTCATGTTTTTTAATTTTCTTTTGATAACGATACTTATAGAGTTTGTCACTTTAAAAGGTATTATCTTTATTAAATATGTTTTCCGCATTTTTGTAATAATTTCTTTTTAATTTTTTCTGCAAAACCTTATTAATGCTGCGTTTATTTACTTTAACAGTTTTGCTTTAAAAAACAAACAGATCAAAAAACTTTTAAAAGTTTTGCTGTAAAAATCAGATTTACAGCAGAAGCGGTGTGGGATATAGACACCCCCGTGTGTTTAGTAGACACCTGTGTTTAGTCGAACCTGATTGACATTTTTAAAAACGTAATATTTAGATATTCATTTTCAACTTATTTAAAGTGATAATAATATTACTATTGACTAGATATGCGAATTTGTTAAAAAAAAGATAAGTGAACTTTCTGGTTAAATGCTTTTATGCAGTACAATTATTAATTAATTATTAGAAATTTTCGCTCAATTACGGTTACCTGCATCTTCAGCTCGTAAAATTTTTGAGTTGATGATGCTTGTAACCATAATCCTGTGAAAATTTTTAGTTTAAAAGGTTTCTCGTGAAAAAACTTGAAGAAATTTATATAATATATATATATATATATATATATATATATATATATATATATATATATATATATATATATATATATATATATATATATATATATATATATATATATTTGAAGATAAAGATGAGGCATATAACTGAGTTTGTGCAACCAGGGATGCAATCTTAACACAGACGTCAAAAAGTATATATTTTAGATTAAAATTGTTGCTGATTTCAATAATGAGATTGCATAGCGAACTGTTTCTTTTAAAAAACAAAAATCTGCATTTTTGACTGCTTAAATCACTCAATACGCAAAAATATATATATTATATATGTTTCTGGATGACGGCTAGCAAAACAAATAGTTATGTACAAAGGCAGAAAGATAAATAATGTAACAACTGCAAATTATTGAAGTACTTTCCACAATAATGTACAAAAAAATGAGATGAAAAACTCATTTTAATAGAAAAACATTAGATTATTTTAAAGCTTATTTCAATGACAAAAAAATTGATTTGCTTGAAATTGAAAACTAAATCTAAATATGAAAAATATGAAAAGTCAGTACAACATATATGGTCAACATAGTGAAGCTTTCAACAACGAAAATGAATTGATAAAAAAAAAAAAATCCTCAAAGACAGCAAAAACATCCTGCAGGTGGACAATAAATATGGATATCTAAAATTAATCGTGCATAAACTTTATTTGCATTACCAATCTGTTATCTAAAAAAATCCCTCCTCCACCCTAACCTCAAACTATTTTAAAGGGGGCGATTTAAATTTCTTATTATAATAAATCATTTACTTTTACTTATTTAAAAAAAAAATACAACCATGATAACCATCATCATATGTACTTACACATTTAAACTTTGGCATGAACCAGCACTAATGATGATGAGGTCAAAAGTATTATTCTACAAAAAAAATTGGCAACTATAAAATCAACCAGAGAACATATTGACGATAGTTTTGCAACCAGTGGAATTAAAAGAAAGCTTGTATCCCACGTGAAAAAAACTTGGTTTTCACGCAGAAATACCTGAATACTAATATATGTAGAAAAAGAGTTCAAGTAAAATCATTATTAAAGATAGTTTAATATACTTTAAGATATTTTAGTGTACGAAATTGGTAAAAGTTTAATTTGTTTTTGAACAAAACATGTAAAACAAGCTGGATAATGCAAAATTCTAATAAAATAAAGTTTGCACATATCTGGTTAAAAATTTTGCTTAAATGTGTTGATGGGTGTTACTACCAAAATGTACCATAAATGTTACAATCAAAATCTCAGCAAAAAAATTACAACAAAATGATTTGAATATCAATTTATTCAATAAATTGATATTCAAATCATTTTGTTGTAATTTTTTTAGAAGCGATTTTGCATTTTCAAAGTCTTAAATTAATAAAACTTAATAAAAACTTAACTTAAATAAAAACTTAACTTAAAACTTAAATAAAAACTTAAATAAAAAAAAACTTAAATTAAACTTAAGTAAAAAATAAAATAAAACTTAAATTTAAACATAAACTTAAATTTTAATTTAAATTTAAAGTTTAACTTAAATTTTAACTTAAATTTTAACTTAAACTTAAAATTAACTTTAATATTAACAAAGATAAATTTTGCTGAACAATTTTATTTAGCTAGTTAAAGTAGTATTAGTTAGTTACTTATCAATTGTTATTACTATTAAACTTCTAAATGGACTTTTGAAATGAAGTGGTTTGAAAGTGATTGCGGTAGTTTATTAAAAATTTTAATGAATGATTTGACTATGAACGGGTCGCGGCGTTAATTTTTGTTCAAAAATCTTCTGATTGCCAGTTTGCACAAGTTTTTTCACTTGCAGTCATAGTTAGTGGAAACCATGTTAAAATAACATTTAAATTTTAATAGACCAATCAATATCAAAAATTTTCGCGAGTGGTTTCTATCGGTACAGACATTTTGCGTTAAACTTGAATTTTATTTATAAGAAAACAAAGCGTATGTTAATGTACCTTATCCTACCATTGTTTTAATTATATTTTGAGATCATACTTTTACATTGATAACATAATATCAAAATGATATTTACAGAAAAATTATTATAAAAATTGGACACTACAATTATAATTGTAGTGAATAAAAATTGGACACTACAATTATAATTGTAGTGAATAAAAATTGGACACTACAATTATAATTGTAGTGAATAAAAATTAATTGTTAAAAAACTAAAAATCTGTATGTAAAATAATTTTTTAAACTTAAAATTTTGTAAAACACCAAAATTAAACAACCTCCAAAATTAATTCAAAGACATTATTAAATATAAGCAATCTAATTAGTAAATAAAGGAAAATAAGTCGTCAAGTACAGCCTGCCAATACCTAAAAAACAAAAATAAAAACTTACAACTGTCCTATCAATTTATGATACTTGTTCTACTTTCATTCACTTTGTAAATTCTATTTCATAAATCTACACACACTGTAATTTGCATAGCTTGTTGAACAGCCTAACTTTAGATATGTTGTGGATTAAATAGCTAACCTTAATTTAATCTTAAACCAATAGAATAATTTATTCTTAATCCAATAAAATAACTTAACCTTAAAGTTTAAGGTTTAAGTTAAACCAATAGAACTACTAGATACATCTACACCTTAATTTGTTATAAAAATAAAATAAAAAGCATAACATTAAGAAAGGTGTCATCTTATTGATATTTTTATAACAGGTAATATTTATAAAAACTAATAGAAAGAAAATATTTTCATATTTTAAATATCTTTTTTATGAAGGTTATATGAAAATATCTTGAAATGATATAAATAAAATCCAAGTCTAAAAAATATATATTAAATAATTTAAACAAATATAATTTCTGAAATCGAGATATAGTCAAAATGCAAAAGGGTTTTCAGAAATAAAATGAACCAAAAAATTTGTTGCTTGTACATTCTTTTTGATCTTTGCAGCACAAATTTTTTAATAAAAAGCCATAAAACTGAGCAGTTTTGTAAGTCATTACATCTGTGATACCTATTTTGAAATTCACAATACTTGAAGTAATCTTTTTGTGACATACAAGTCCGGAGTCCTCTTGGGACTCCTAATCCCTGCTTGTATCATGGCTTTACTTAGATAACCTTAACACAAACATCAAGGTTTTTAATAATCTGATACCTTGTATCAGATTACTATAACCTCATACAAAGTATATCTTATACCTTGTATCAAATGTTTATCAACTTTAAAAAACAAACAACAAATTGTTTTTGTTTTTGAATATGCAACATATAAATGGATATTAATGAATATAAATGAGAGAAACACAGTTTTTTAAGATATACACCAATATTTTAAAATTTAATGAGAATAACCTTGAAATTCATAAATACAAAATAAAACAAAAAACAAAACAAAAATATAAAAGTAAAACTAATAAATAATATAAACAAATATGAAGATCTAATGATAAAAAGATAAAACTTGGAATTTCAAAAACTTTCAAACATTTTTTTTTATTTTAACTTATACTTATCTTTTACTTCATTTATAAAAAAATTCAGCAAATGGTCCTTAGTGTGTTAGGTCCAATAATTAATTAACTTTAAAATATCTATACTAAATAGTTAGAGATTTTAAAGTTAATTTATTATTTTAGGTTTTAAGACTTTTTGAAAATCAAAAATGACAAATTTTACAAGATATCTCAAGATATATTTATTAACTTTCAAAATCTCTAGCTAAAAAGAAAGATATTAATGCAAGTATCAATTTCAAATGTAAAACTGTGTGTATAGAAGAGGTAACATAGTGGTTTATTAAGCATCTTTTTGTAGATTAAAATAATGAATGAAGAATGTGTATAAATACATATATTCTTTCATGAACAAAAAATATAACTCCTATTTCAACATATTAACACATTAAATCATTCAACTTTTGACCAATTAACCCATGATCCTTGGTTACTTAACTGCATATTTTAGTGTAGACTGAACCAAAAAATATATTCCAGTTTACACGAAATTTAGTTTTAACCCCTTAACTGTGGGAAAACACTAAATCCAATTCTTCAAAGTGCAATCTAAATTTTACTGACCGATGCTATCTCCAACAGAAATATAGTTTTAACTTTAAAATAAAAGAAACTCTGAGATTTTTAATAACATTTAATAACTTTTGTATTTAATATTTATTATTAATCATGTTGTTATTAATAATATTTTCGTTTAATATCAATTTGATAACATTTATATCACATTGTAAATGTCGTAATCGGGTCTAGAATTTTTGAAAACTGTTCAAACAGCACTTTGACGGATTGGATGTAACGTTTCCCTTATCTGTGGCGTAAATTTAAACGTAACGTTGTTATTTACGGCAAAATATTTTTGTTCGTGATTTCTTTGTTGTTTCTTTAAGTTAAAAAAAAAAAAGAGCATTTCAAATTTTTTGATATTAATATTAATGAAGAACTAAATTTTACAGGCA